GTTTAATTATTTATTATGAAGACTATTTCATGCTTCCATTTTACGTTTTGTTAACAATTTCGGGTTATTTCTACCCTGGATAGTTGTATTTTTATAGCTTTTCTGGATTGGTAACTTTGGTAAGATTGAAATACTCACATTAATTAAAATTGCCATTTAATTACTAGTAACTTAAATTGTTTTATTAAAATTTAAGGGTCATTAACTAAACATTTTATCCATATGTGCTCTGTGCTCTAATAATAACTGGAATAAGTTATTATCCGAATTTTATTCTGTGAAACAAAGAGTTTTCCTTTGTCATTGCAAACATGTGTTTCAGATCCACACGTCTGTATATCAAACATGAATAGCATTGACATTCTAGAATCTCACAACGTTTACGTTTGGCCTTATACAATTTTACATTCCAATAGTTTGCAATAGTTTAAGTAATTCCTCTTCTTCTATTTTCTCACAAAGCATGGGATATAAAGTGTTTTTATTCTGGCTTTATTATCCCCCATGTTCATAGCATGTATCTCTGAACATGCAGTATCAAGTATACACGCCCCAGTAATACATTAGATTGAAAATGTACTCCAAATTTAATCTAAAATGCTTTAGGTTGTTATGTATAGTATGTTTCGTATATGTACAACACATTTCAAAACGATCACAACTATTTTGCGCATCCAATGGGTAAATTTAAATCAGTTTTGGTGAATACAAGTACGATTCTAGCTTAAACGTCATATTATTTATTATTATTATTATTATTATTTCTTTGTCATGAGAGCCGAAGCCCCCTGACTGCGTACCCGGTACCTATCGTGAGACTTACCCGGGCCCCATGATGTAGGCCGAAGCTTACGCATCAACCTTTAGCACATCATGGGCGGATGACTTAAGGTCATCAGGCTCGCCGGCTGCCGAAGCAGACCCTTCGGAAAGAGGGTTGCCCCTCAATCCTAACCAGGGATTCCGGCTGCTTGTTTAAGCGTCACTCCACCTGGGTTCCCCAGGGTACAAGCCCTAGAGGACCATAATGGAGCGCCCCGACGCATTTAGTGCAAGCAACACTCGGGACCTATCTAATCCCTGACAGGCAGAACCCGCCATCATAGCCAGAAGGAAGGGGACCGTCAGCACGCTGACGGGGGAACCCCAACCTCCCATTTACACCACTACCCGATCGAGGCCTTACCCAGTTGCTGGGAAACCAGAGATAACCAGAGCGATAGATCCCCAGATACCCCTGGCGGGCTCGGACCCAGCACCCGATCTACTTCGTTCGCCCGTCAGACCCAACATCACTGCCAGGCCATCAGGGTTTCCCAAAAGGAGGCAGGTATAGAAGTGGGACCCACCCGGATGAACCTATCCACCAGAGGTGGCGACACCCTTGACTCAATTGAGGTTCCGGGAAGAACCCCCCACACTCAAGATAACCATACCGTCCGTGCTCAGAGACAGGGATTGGTTTGCATAAGTGCCTACAAACCGTTACCCTCACACTGCGGAAAGTTACGTTGCCCTTGAGTGTCCCCGTGAGCTACGGGTACTTGCCCGTTTTCACCTCCAGGAAAGGCTACTTCCAAAGTCGAGGATTTGCCACACTGAATGCTGGTCGCACACAACAAGCAGGCCGAAGCCCAAAGAACCACAGACACAGGTAGGTTAGAGAATATGATGCACTTCCATCTCTCCTAGAGCTAAACACCCCTCCATCCTGGATAAAGGAATGTCACTGGGACCCAATGCCCAGTCGTCCATGTCTGTGGCCTACTTGAAAATGCCGATACCAACACCGAGCAGTTACCTCCCCTTTGGGGGCTAGGTTTTTCACCTCCCAGGACGAGGCTACTTCCAAAGTCGAGGATATGCCTCACAAAATGTCAGTCGAACACAACCGGTAGGACGAGCCCGAAGAACTCAAGTCACAACCACAGTTACAGGTAGATGAGGAGAGGCGGAATTAACGGCGTCACTGAGAGCTAAACACCCCCCCCACCCTGAATGGAGGGAATGTCACTGGAGGCTCCCCCTAAGGGGCTGGCGCTTACCAGTCGTCCATAACTGTGGCCTACCTGAAGTGCCGGGTCTGACACCGGGCAGTTACCTCCCCTCTGGGAGTTTAAACGTCATATGCAAAAAAAACTTATTCTTAGCCTAAATGCAAAAATACTCATTACTTAATTTTTTTTGTTGAAAATGATTTGCTGAATGAATGTGGCCTTAATAGCCTTCATAATTTGTGTAAGGCCGCAAAGTAGGACCTACGCAATTGCCGCCCGAGAACTGTAAATGTCCGCACACTCACAGCTGAGTGTGCAATACATTGCGAGAACGGCAATAAAATATTTGTGATCGTAATACACACAACATTTTTCCACCAAAGCAATTAACCTATCATAAGACATAGATCTTCATTTAGTTTTTATTAGCGTTAGCTTTTCTTAGGTTATTTCATTTGCTTACTGGTTGTTTACGTACCGGAGCCGTAGTTGTGATTGCTGTAGAAACACCAACTGTTAAATCAGCTGATTTAGCAAGTGGGAATGATCCATCCCCACCCTAGAGCGACAATGCGCAATTTTGCATACTGTTTACAAATGTGACAATGTGATCATTTCCATGTAGTGGTAGGAAAAGTACATAAGTATACCTACCTGAGGAATAACAAAAAAATGTCCCTACTATCAATACGTCTAGTTTACATTTACTTTTAAATAATGTAACCAGAAAACAATAAATATAGTTTAAATTGCATTTTTAAATCTCAAAAATAGAGCTATATAGCCATATATAATGGCATTATATATGGTCCAGTTCAAACACGATACAGTATTTGGTTTCACTTTGTGTGTTTGACTTTGTCTCTGAACAAACTTTGAATTCAATAAAGTCGGAAAAAGAAGCACGACAAATCTTTATCCAAACTTTAAGCTAGAGGTTTCATTTATCAATCATGTGAAAACTTTTGCTGTACTCTATTGATTCAATCTAAGCTTAAAAAAGCTGAAGAAATTTTAAAATTCTACTTTATAAAAATTACAATTTATCATCACATGGTGGTTTGGAAATACAATCCTAAATATTTTGAATCGAGTCCACAAAATATTTAGAAAATCGATGAAGGTCGAGATCTAATTCTCTCAGTTTTATTCTGTAAAGAAATCTAGATCTGAGAGAAATAAGTCACACCAACACCTTTGCAAAATCTATATAATGCTAACATAATGTATCTACAATATATTAAGTTGATACCACAAGGATCTAATCCGTACCTCCATTACATTATTTCGGAGGTTAAATATTTACTGTTTGAAAAATTGCTACCTGTTAAGAATAATGTTGTTTACTCCAAACCTTATGATCTTTACCCACCATTAGATCATTCGCTGATGGTGTGTGCGATAAATTATGTATCTTGTATCCGTTAGATATAGAGATGTTGTTTTGCTTGTGGATAAAATATAATATTCAGAAATTGAACTTAAACTTTTGTATACAATATGGGAGAAATGGGTTTTTAAGCTTTTACTACTAATTTGAGTCACAAACTCAAAATTTCCTTTCTTAAAATAAATATAAAAATAATTGAGTGGATCAAATGTTATGAAGAAGACAAACGGACTCTTTGATATGTACAGTTTGTATTCAGAGTTCTGATGGTTTAAGTTACACCGAATATACTGTATATGCAATGTTAACTAATACAATTTTATAACATGAAATATAATCACGCAGCTCATTTTAGTAAAGAATTTCCAACTTAGCCTCTCTATTACAATAGCGCTTGATTGAACAACAGCAGCCATCGGGATTATTTATTTTATCGTATCAGTTTGTTTACACATTGCAGCTCGATATGCATTATAAGCGGCTAAAAGCAAAAAGAAAATGTTTAACATTTGTTTACCCATTCCACACATATTGTGTCACCAAATGGTGCATTTGAAATCAAACCCCTAAAAAAGTGTGGACCAAAGATTCTTTATTTTATAACAATAAAATTCACATTCATTTCCTTTCCAAAAAATTACCAAACTACCGTTATCTACTACCTTTATTTAGGTCTAGAAAAACAACTTAATTTAAAATAATAAGAAAGGGTAGATTTTCTTACTAGGTTTTTTTATGTGTTAAGCCACTAAGTATTGATGACAAAATGACACCAGTTTGGAGTTCAATAACCTCACAGGTAGGGAATAGCAGACAAATTACGACTATATCAAAATATTTGTATTTGCTGACATAAATCAATTTTAAAAATGGTCACAAGGGCACTTAACATTGTGTTTATTTAGAATTAATTGTCATTTTCAAAATCCTCATTGAATTTCCAATAGTATACAAGTATTTTAAAAAATCGCAATTTGTCTTGTCATTCCCTACCTATGAGGGTACGGAACTTAAACTAGTGTTATTTTGTCACCAATACTTGGCAGTTTAACACATAACAATTGTTCAAAGAATTATTGCGGACATTTTCCGTCACGATGGTAAAAAATATACACAACGTTTTGGAATCTGGAATCTTATCCCGTCCTCAGGTGAAAAGACTTAACAAACACATTACAACTAACAATACACTACAGAGCGTAGCAGTCATTTTTTTTTACTGCCACGCTCTGTAGTGTATTCCAACTTAGGTTGGGCGTTTGTGTATTGTTAGTTGTAATGTGTTAGTTAAGTTTTTTCACCTGAGGACGGGATCTGATTCCAGATCCCGAGACGTTGTGTATTGTTTTTTACCATCGTGATGGAAAATGTCCGCAATAATTCTTTTAACAACATTAACTCACCATCACCAACAATGAACTTTAAACAAAGGACATAACATTTGTTAACACAAACTAAATCTACTCAATAAAAAATAGTCATCATTTTCAAACTTGACCTTATCCCAATGAAATCATAACGTGTGTTCAGGTAAAAAATCGAAATATTACACTCACTATTACTTGGATGCTATCTATACTTCCTTCTGCATAAGATGTCTTGTCATGTTCCAGGGGGTGACGAGGATGTCCAGTTGAGCCTGGTTATGCAGACATTGCAGCTGGTCACACTTCTTCTTCTCCTCAGAAGTATCTCGGCCGACATCCGTCCCCCCCTCTCCCTCGCGCTCCCCCTACCCAAGTTCTCGACCATGGCCCCCGCGAAGACCACTGATCCGGAGTTTGAGTTTCTGAACAATACTGAGTGCACGAATTGTTCGACTACACGGACGTATGCCGAGTGGCAGAGTGATGGGGTAGGAGCGTTGCCGTTTTACCGAGTGAGAAGCGACCTCCACCGGTCCCATGCGAGAGTCGTCACGATCCTGGGGTTGTTTGAGCTTACGGTGGGGGGAGTCGACAGGCCAGAGGGGCGGAGCGAGCTGGCCGCTGCGCTGCTGGCCATCAAACATATCAACCAGAGGAAGATTCTGGGGGACTATCAGCTCAAAATGCTCACCAACGATACTAAGGTAGGAAAATTCATCTTTGTATTTACAGTTGATGTTCAAGTTTTTAAGATATGAAACTTGTATGAAGTAAATTACCATTAAATCAACCCACACCCAGTCAGCCTATCCGTTAAAGCAGTGAGGTTGAATGTCGTGGTGGATAAACTAGTATTATATAGTTTCCAAGTAAGTAAGGTATACTAACAAGCCTATATTTTGTCTTATTACTGACTCAACTAAAAGAGAAATTATCAGATAACTCTACATCTGAAAATGGGAAATGCTTCATGAGCAACATGCAACGTGAGCTTAAATAGGTACAGTAATCAAATGAAGGTAAACAAATTTTAGCCATATTGAATTATATTATTCATTAATAGTTTAATATAAAGTTTAAAGTTCATACACCTTTTTCAGTATACTGCTGTGAAATGTGGACGGCATGCTAATTTTTTTTTATAAATGACACAATTCTAAGATTTTTTGAACGATCTAAGATAATGGTGTGAACTTAATATTACTCACACTTATTCGGTTTACCTTAAAAGTATAAAAAAATTTTACAGAGCCTCGACCGTAATCCAAAACATTTGTCTAATAGATATATATATTTTTTTCTACGCCAGTAGCTTTTTAATCAAGTCAAGTTTAGATTAAACGTTAATAAGAAAATTACGTTGCATGCAAGACAACTAATCACATAATTCGCCTAGATATATTAGTGGTTTCTAGTTGTTCATGTATAATTGGCAAAAGGTCTAAGGTTCTGCCATGTTGTCATCGTTTTAAAAGTGAAAATCTGAATTTTTACTCATACAGTACATATATGAATGCTCCTTCTATTTTTTTATGGGGAAAATACCATTGAATCATTACAAAATAACAAATATCATTTCCATAAACAAAATTACGAGAACAAATTACGTAAATAAAAATTTTGATTATAGTAAAGTCTATATAAATAACGATAGTGCCCTAATGCTATTGCCAATTCATATACTGACCCTCATTGCGATTTATTATATTTGAGTTTAAAGGTATATAATATACAGTATCCATAACGTAATATCTATTATTCCATCTGTTTAAATAAACGACGCGCAGAAACCAAACAAAACCGCTGTTCAACCCCGCAACGGTCGTTCGGTCAATATGCACAGAATATGGGTTCTGGCCAATTCGAGATTGAAAATACAACCGTAAAACCTTATTTGTTTTAATTTATTTACAGTAAATAACTAGCCATAAATACATTTATGTAAAACAGTCGTAGTTACCAAGAGTTTAAGTTCACTTGGTTAAGTATTTTAACTCTTTACGAACTGTACGAGTACTACAGTGCAATATAATTAGGTAAATATCCGGAATCGTACCATGAACCCCAAAAAAGTTATCTGTTTTGATTTAATTAATTATTCTTGAATCTCAGGAAAACATGATGTCCAACGGGAAAGAAAAAGTTTAAAAAAAGTCGTAGTATTTTCAATTTTTTACACGTTTCAAAATGTTTAGCGTGTACAACTGCACGGTCTATTGTAAATACCGTATGTCAAAAGCTTCCTTGATGGAAATTAAAAGTCTTTGATTTTAAATTGAAGACATGTATAATTTTTATTTACTTTAAACCTTAAACCCAATATTAAAGGAGACTCTACCACAAATTGAAAAATACCATTTCGAACAACTTCAACTAGTGGAGCATATTTTAGGTCCTAACACAGATTTTGCTGTCCCCTGTCCCCTTATTCAGGTTAATATCAACAATTACACCATTAGTAAACCATATCATTTAGAGCTTGTCATTTATAATTTTATGAATCAAACGTGTACATAAATATCAAAATAGGATAATCATCTATGAATGTACTGCGTTATATCTACGTGGTTAACACATATATTATTTAAACGTATAACTAACTGATGTAACACAAATCAGCTAGAAAACCATTATAAGCCTCTAAGCATGTTGTTTACCAACTAATTATCTGTTGCCGCAAAAGTGATCAGGCTGAAATGAATTTAATGAACGGCGACAACCCTTCGGGGTATTATTCAATTAACTTCATTGTTTGAGGTTAATTGTTTAATTGTTGTTACTCAATGTTTATGTACGAGGAAAATACTTTTTTTTTGTAGAGGCGTCATAGAAACTTTATGTCAAAAGTCACATTTTTTCATGTCACAACTTTCAGATTTTTAAAAATATTTTTGAACCGAAGACCGTAAGTTTTGTAATACTGTACAATGGTGAACAGCTGGCAATATAACACGTGACTATATGAAACTTGTTTGTTCCCGCGGCTTCACCTGCAATGGTATAACCATTGATATTTATTTACATGGTGGAAACTTATTCATTACAATGCAGTTTTCTGAAGATTTTAAGGCCCCTTTGTCCTGAAAGTTCATTTACCCAGGGGAGAAGAATGTAGGTCTATTTAACAGAAGGCATTTTCAAAGAAATGAAAAAAAACTCCTCTGATAAAAGATTTACCATAGTTACAATATAATTAATTTCACATAAATTTAATATAATTAATATGGACGGAACAATTGTGGTATTTTTAATGAAGATGACAGTTTATGGACGCACCAGCTATCGTTCCTAAAAACCAAATGTTAATTTAAACTTTCATTTTTTATTTTTTACAAATATTTAGGTGAAACTAAAAATGTTTGACATGATGCTATCTTTTCTTCACTGCCATTTATGGAAAAATTCGTTAATGTATATCAATAAAATAATGTATATAAATAACACTATTATTTTATTACGTCCTTGAAAAAACAATAAAACGTAGGTGTTGTAGGTGTTAGCCTCCGGATTGCCAAATAATATTAGAAAAGGTTTAAATACCTGATATTAAGCAATCCAATGTTGTTGTTAGCACAACTAGTTTCGGTGTCTGTGTGACACCATCATCAGGCTGCACAAGGACAGTTTTCTTTCTTCATACGAAGAGCGTCATATACTTTACACGAAAATAATAAAGAAATTTAAACACGACACAAACATGAAGACGAGACATTTATAGTAACTGATCAGTTAAGAAAAACTCGTAATGATGGTGATCGAATAATAAAAAAATATTCACTACTGATTCAAAATGTATGAAATGTGTTATCATTGTCTAACGGATTCGAATAATGAGAGTTTGAGGTTTCGACGGGAAATATCTCTTTTCTGGCTAACCTCAATCTGGAATTAATGAGTTCCGAGCCTCTTTGTATCGACTAAATCATTAGAAGCGCTACCTGAGTAAAGATCCAGCCACTAGGAGATCACGAATTGTGAACAGCTGTGTCTAAGGAATATGTCGGCCTTCGTCAGTAACAAGTCGACAAGATCGCGCCACTCATCCTACACTCATCTCTATTCATAGTTGGCTTAAAATACATACATTCATTCGGTCGCTATTTTAAGTAAAAGTATAAAAAAATAAATACTAGAGGTGGAGCAGCAAGTGTTTGCTTCCGTCTTCAAAAATAGTTGTAAATAATACTATCTTTTGATATTGAATAATAATACTCTAATAAGATAATGCTTAATAAGCATTTACAATAAATTGTACATTATCGAGATTTTGGGATTTCTCAATCGAGTTTTTTGTAAAACATAGTAGATACAAAACCTAAAAGAAAATGTATCTTTATTAGGTAGTTTTATCTATTATTACACTGTCGGTCGTAATAGTTAAAAGTTTGTAACATACCTTGTCAATAAAGAAAGGAAATCCGAGAACTCATTTAGAATATAAACATACGACGAATTTGTTATAATCTGGAATATCACCATCAAGTTACTGTTATAATTTACTGGATAAAAATAAACGTACTAGGACGAACAACTTTTAACATTGCATTTTGAATGTTTATTGACACGGTATTAATAATTATAAATTGCCGTTCAATAGTAGAATCACTTTTAGTGTAAATATTTTACCCTAAAAATATAATATTGAAATAAAACAATTATGTTTTTTAGGTTTTACTCGTCTTATCGAATTAGTAATCACAGTAAAACTTTGCACCAACTTATACAAGTAAGAATTTACCATAAAAACTATTTCTTTAAAAAGTGCATCAAAAATGATTTAGTGGTATCCTACCATGTGATAATTGTGATAATCAGATAAAACTACTTATTGAGCTAATACCACCATGCCAATTTTATGATTATTCGTTAAATAATAGGCGGCTTTGAGTAATTTGAGATTTTGTTATTAGCTTTACATTATAGCTTTATGATTTGAGTATTAGCCATATATATTTTTTGATAATTTATATTAACTAGATAGACGTGTTTGGATTGACATTAGTGTATGCTTGTACAAAAAATTACACCCTTTCATTAATCTATATAAATATTAGATTGTTATATATCTTATGAAAAAGGCTCAAATACAAAACAGTAATATTTGAAATTCAAATCGTCACAACTTTGTGTGTTTGTGGTTCTAGAGTCAGTTAATAACCGTCATCATTCAGGTTAAATCCAAGTAATTGGTTTCCGGGCAATCAGTGAGTTTCAGTCAAGCATTAATTAACACTCATTAAGAGACTATTTTAACTACACTTGACAAAATACATTTTATGCTATCACAATTATTAATAACTGTACATATATCGCCGTAGGTCTACTATATTTTATTATAAAACAAACAGATAAATCTAAATATTAATAAAACCTGTTAAAAATGTATAAAAAAATTAGTAAACACTTTTAATTAACATTAATAATCATTATTTAGTATGGAATTAAAATGACAAAATAAACGTAAAGCCATAAAACTGTTGCTAATAGTGAAACCCATTGTTGGTTGGACAATAGACCATCAACGGCAGGTTTTAAGCAGATAATAGCTACGGTATCAACGTCAGCGACAAAAAGACATCTGTGACCTGAAGCTATGTTGAAGCTTCATTTCTGAAAAAAAAATCAAACCAGTTTTATACGGTTTTAATGTCTGGAAATTCAGTAAAATTAGCATTTATGGTTTGTTTCAATCGTATATTTATTT